GTTCAATATAATCAGTTTTTTTTACAAACAAACACATCTAAGAATTCAAAGTAGATGCTGTTACCATCTCTGAAACAATCTTTTGCATTTGTTCAGATCTAGGATCTTCGCAGTGGATGCTGGCATATCACTGGAGGGTTAACCCTTGCATAGCGCATATTTGAGATCACTTCAAAATTTATTGGGATCCTATGAAAAGGAATAGTTTTTTCCCTCACAGGTCCACTATAGAATTTTCCTGCAACCATGTGCTTGGTTCTATGAAAACATCTGGACTTAAGGGCATACTTAAAGTTTTTTTGTTAACATTTCTCAAAGGTAATTTGAAATTACTCTCATCACAAATCACCATTCGTGCCAAGGAAGCGCACTCAATGATTGGTAAAAGATTCTAACGCATACTAAAGCAGAAATAGTATGTTTATGGAAAAGAATTCAAAATTGGTCGACAGGTGCGAAAGATCTCACGTCTTTTGACTCACCCTGATACTTCATGCATTAGAAGTGAAGACTAGTTCTACATCATGTTTCTTAATGTTTTCTATGCACTTCTTCTCAACGAATGATGGACTTCAATAGCGTAATTCCTTATTCTAACTGATTAATTGTTACGCGCAATTTAATAGAAGAAGAGGAATTTCTTGAAAGTGACCAATTTTAGCAACTTCCCAAAAATAGTCATACTTTCCAGAGACCAATGCAATGACCGATCAAAGCCACATTTATATACTCAAACATATTTCCTTCTTCTCTAAAAACCATTTAGCAGGGAAAAGTCAATTGACTGAAACTAATGATATTTTTAAAAATAGTTTCGAGAAACTGAACACTTTTGAGGGTCACACCATAACAGCGATATCCTTAAATGCAGAAAATGCACTTCCTCGTATCTGCCCACAAAAAAAATGGTAAGAAATAAACTTCATCTGAATTACACACTGTAATATTAAACACAAGGCGAAGTAAAATACACACCGAATAGCAGCTGAGAGCTGTTCATCAAAAAATCTATCATCGAGGATGAAACACCGGGTGAAGAAAGAATAAAATGGCAAAACAACGTGGATACAGTAATGGGATGTACCGGATTGTATACATCACATCTTTTCACGCTCTTTCATTTTGGTACTGCTACATTAGAGAATTTCCCGTGACAAGTGAATTACGTAATATCGAAGCAGAGTCGATCGAACCATGTTTCACCACTCAGTTTGATCCTTATAATAATACCTACATATCGGAAGATTAAAAAACAAAATGAATAGACCCTAATACAAAT